TGAAATTATTAACATGATGAAATAAAATCAAACAATAGTGCATATAACATAACAGATACATTAATAATCCTTTTTTTATTATATGTACAGCAGTAAACTTACTTTTACTTTGTACTCTATTAAGGCTTGTCTTACTGTTTCGTGTTGCTTATCGAGCTCGTTTTTACGTTGGTCGTAGGTTTGTTCGAGCCTCTCTCTTTCAATAACACCTCGATCTACAACGGCAATGGCAACTTCTCGTTTCATCCTTATAAATTCGTCTCTATCGCGATGTTTTTTTGCCAACGACTTGACTTCTTCCCTACGATCGGCTTGGAGTTTTTTCATTAGTTCAGACGTTTCTCTTTCCATTTGATTCTGGAACATTCAACTAACTTTATTAGCGATTTAGGTACGAAAAACGCTAATAAATGGATATAATTAATTCAATGAATTCACCTTTAGTGCTTTTAGCTGCTCAGACTGTGAAGTTTTCATAATTCTCTCTGCAGTATTGAAAATAATTTCGTGGTATTTTTCTCTTAGTTCTTTTTCTTGTAATACATATTCTTTAGTGATTTCGAGTAACTTTTCTGGTTTACTGCGTAACAGATAGGGGGGCGGCTTGATAGATTCGCTAGTACTCGATTCTGTCACTTCTTCTGCGCTTGCTGCGGATTCTACATTTGAAGAATCCATTGTAAATAATCCACTACTCACTCTACAAATAAATAAATTTGTGGATAACTCATTATGTAATTCGTACTGCCAAATATTGAGCGAATACCTACATATTTTTATTTGATAAACGTTTCACAAGTTTTATGTTCATAATTTTACTCCTTTTTTCACAACTTTCGTTAGACTTGAAAGCTTGTACGGAAAATTTTCGTTTTTCGTACTTTTTTCGCAAGTTTTCTATTTTTCTATCTAACTCGACTTTCTTTTCTTTCACGTATTTATTTTCCAAAATTTTTTCTAGGGTCTCCGCTGAAACCTCTTCGTTTACAATAACATCGGGTGATTTTGACGCAGCTGTACTTTGTTCTGTGATTGACTGAGAAGTTTCAAGAGGTATTTCTATTGCATTTCGGTTATTTGCTTGTTGAGTTGTGGAATTACTGGTAGGAATATTTTCTTGATTAGATTTATTTAAAATGTCTTTGTTTTTGTTTTCCTCTTTATTAACTGCTGATATTCCTATAAATCGAAATGAATTTCAAATAGGTACCTATTATCTATGTATAAGATCTGTAATCTTCTTACCCGTTTGTGCAGCGTCCATCTCATCTGTAAGAACTGCTAACTGTCTGGACCTTTTTTCTAAATCGCTTTGATATTTGATAGGATTTGCCAGCGCTTCGGCTAAATCGGTCAGGCCGTCAGGTACATAATCTTTTACAACAATATAAAAAAATAGAGTTGCCAACGGTAATGGTTGACCGAACTCTGTTCTTAGGCTAACGTGTCTATAACCGGGACAAAGTCCCACGACTGGTAAAATTCTGTGACCAATTAGTCTACCAGATTCTTCATAGGCTGCTATTCGCAAAGAGGCGAGTTCGGGTAAAACAATTTTTTTAAAAACAAAGGGATCTTCATCATAAATAGGGTTTATTCCGTTGTTAGCAATTGTCTTGGTGCGTACTTTTTTACGCACAGTATCTGCTGGTAGGCCATACATTTCTACCTATTTAAACAGTTGTTGGTCATATACAAAATTGTAAGGCTTAATTAAATTTTACCTCAACATAAGTTCCGACCCTTTTGTCAGTCAAAAATTGTCCTGAAATCACAGTAATTTCTACGGTTCCGGCAATAACGCCGTCGATGGTGGATTCTGCGAATAAGTCTAAGCGCCTGTCTTGTCTCCTCATGAATTCCGGTTTTAAAATGTAACCAGTTCTGAAATTGTATTCGAAAAACCCCAAATTCAACTGCATCCCTAGATCTAGTGTTTGAAAATTGAGAGCCACAAGTTGACATCCTGCATTCCAAAACACTTGAGGAATAAAATTAGACGAATCAAACCTCGTTCCTGCCGGATAAACTCTACTCAATTGATTCTTGTTGTAGTTGACAAATTCTACAGGATGTTCTTTTAATAAAGTCATTGCTTGCTTTTCATCAAACGATGACATTTCATAACTACGCTTTTTTTCTAAAAAAAAAAAAAGTAATAATTTTTAAAACAGTCCCCATAACTTTATTGCTTGTATCAAACACCTCAGGTACCGAATAGTATAGCAAACAATTAAATAATGGTTTGAAACAATACTAATTTTCGCTTATTACAAGTTCATGTTAAATGAATGACATAAAATATGATCCTTTAAAAAAGGACTGTCCACTAACCGTTTCATTATACGTATTTTAGGCTTCATTATTTTTCTGCCATTCACTTAAAGAAAATAGTGGCAATATTATTACAACAATAAAATAATAATAATATGAAGAAAAATGTAGAAATACAAATACAACTAACTTTCTGCGTTTTCAAAGCTAGAAAAGTGGACAGGTTGTATATAATTTACAAGAGCTGAAATTTCGGCTCCAGCTTCTGTTTCTTTAGTTGGAGCGGATTTTACTTCTAAAGAAGCTTCGGCTGTTGAACCTGGTTGATTCGACGGAATTTCGATGTTTAAAGGTTCTTCGTCTGAAGAAGAATTTTCATCTTCGGTTCCCGTCGAGTCCTTAGATTCCTTTACAGAAGTGCAGTGTTACTTATTAGACTTTATTGGCTCGGGTACTTTACCTGTCTTGCTTGTAGTTGTAACAAAGGTGCATGCATAGAGGAAATTGTATCCCCCCCATTTCCCGTCATTACATCAATACTCAGTGACTGTACTTTTTTATGGTGGTGGTGTTTCTTCTTGTTCTTAATTATAATTTTTCGTTTTAAAACTGTAGGTGATGGAAGTGGAACACCTACACAAATGGAAAATAATAATTCATATGTATAAATTTATCTCTTATTGAGCACACCTGGTTCTAATTTATGAGTCTCTAACGGTTGGTCAAGTAACATATCTCCAAAAATATCGCGGCAGTAGTTAGCAATTTTGGCTTGTTGTCGTGGATTGCAGTGGTTTTCGAAGGAAAGAATTACTGGATAATCGGATGTTTTAAAAGCACTTTCTGCTATTGCTTCTAGAACATCTTTCGCCGAAATTTCAGGAACAAAAGTATAACCATGAACGATGACAGGCTCATCGGTTCGGCCGTTCCAAAAATCCAGCTCGACGCATCTAATTAGCAGTAAATAATTTCTCTATATGTATTAACATTGCACGCTAACTGAAAATAGAAAAATTACAACGCACCTACATCCAGCCAGTAAACACTGTCTATAAATTTCCACGCTAGATTTTCCGGTAAGCTGGTGACCAGTAAGATAAGTATTATGGGAGGAATTTATGAAATAGTGTGGTAAAGGATGATCCATTTCATTGGTCAGATCGAAGCAGCTTTGTGCAATAATATTGTTGTCTGTAGATATAAGGTACCTTAAAAATATGAAAATACGAACCATGCAGCGTGTATAAACCTAGCAATGAATCTTTTTTCCAAGAAAACTGCTATTCAAAATAAAATACGCGATTGCCAATATACCTTCTTTAATTTACTATTTACTTATCCTATGTGTTAAAAGAAAAAAGCAAAATTCTGCGTGAGAAATTAATTTATCAATTAATTGTTCCTCTTTGCATCGTGTAATACAAAAAGGAGTGGGGAAAAAAATTACCTCAGGAAACCATCAAAAGATAACTGGCCTTTTTGTACGTTGTATTTATTGGGTTCATATTGTGCGATAATATCCTTAGCGTGGATTACGTTAACATACGGGTACAGTATTTCGTTTAGACGGGGATCTCGCTGAGTTTTGTTTAAAAATTCTACAAGTTGTGTAGCAGACATATTGTGCTTTTTCGGAGTTCCAATCCTACAAAAAGATATAAACATAAAGCAATTTGCATTTCTCGCATAATTACTTACAATTCGTTAAATATTCGTTCGACTTCTGTTCTTTGGGTTAGATTTTTGTATAAATTAAAAAAATCCTCGAACTGAAATTTTTCTGAACTAATACCATCGTTTTTTCCAGATGGTAATCCCGAAATATCCAAGGCTTTCTCGACCCGCTTTTTATCCTCCTTGTTCGAAGCAAAAATTTTGATGATACTAAGATTAAAGAACAGCCAGAGTTGCTTACGGAATTTATGCTTACTATACGTCCACTTAGTTCTATTTCAAATACTCACTTCTTTATTGGTATTTTCCCGGACTTGTCTACTAAAAGAATCAATTTCGTGTAAGCTTTAAGCAAATACACATCGGCGTTTGAAATAAATTGTGTTAAATTATATGCCAAACTCATGAGAGCGTCGCACCACTGTTTGGCGATATCCATTTTAGTACAACAAAAATTAATAAACGTAATATTAACAAAATCGCTTGCCCAACACACCGATACTGTTTTTTCTTCTAAAGTATCTTGGGAACCCATAGTAACTATTTGTCTTAACTTAGGATCCTAATAACAAAAATAAAAAGTACCATTAGCCATATTTGGTCCTTAATTTATTAAAATATGGAAATTCTAGCAGGTAGGTAGGTATAAATTCGTTAAAATTAAATGGAAAAATCGTGTGCAAATAAATAAAAATTTGCAATATTTTACCTTAGGAATCTTAGCATTTCTGCCCGTCCGTGTATCTTTAATTGTAGCAATATCCAACAAGTTCATTTCGTTATTTTGATCAATCCAATGAAGATAAAAACCGTATTTATCAACTCGCAATGTAACCGGCGTACCAATTCCAGAATCCTGTTAACAAACAGCAGACACCCTATATATATTTTTTTAATAGATCTATGAAAATAATTTACAAATAGTTATATATATACCTTAATCTAAATTAATTAGTCGAATAGAATATAACGCAAGTTGTATAAGAAATGTATCTGCAATTTGATTTATTTTGGAATGATTTAATTAGAATAAAACATATCTACACGTAAGTTTCTTCCCTCTACCACCGTTAAGGTAGAAACATAACATACATATTTTCAGAAGTATGGGCGTTTTTCTCAAATAACATTTAATTACGAAAAATGTTTCACATAAATGTACCAATTTTTCTTATCTAGTAAATTCAAGAATGTAAGTAAATACCACAAGCGCCCGAGTTGATAATTTAAATTTTTTGTTATCTTCCTGTTCATAATATTATTGTCTTATCAATTACTCATTTTTAAAGACAAAACAATAGAATTTTGAGCCAAATGAAAAGGTCGCAGACCTTTCATAAAAATTGGCCCTAAAATTTCAGAAATATTGTTTTTTTCATCGTTTGTGTTTATGCAGACACACGATGATTTAAAGTCTGTCAAGTTTTCTTCAAAATCTCAAACAACATTGCACAAATGTAGCCTATAGGAGAGCCTAACCTACCTCCTCCCATTTAATAAATTTTTCACCATTCTGAAGGAATTGCGGAACTTCTATGGATTTAAGAGAAACAGCACTTGCAAACGTTGCTATTGCAGAATTTGCGTTGGTACTCAATCTGCTACCTTCAGTACCACTTGCCATTGCCATTCCTTTGCAAACAATTTTTAATTATGGATCTCGTTCAACCGCGTTTAAAATTTTTAAAATGCAATTTTTAATAGACATTAGTAACATTACAGATATTCGAGAGAACATTTTAACGAAAAAACACATAATATGTATATGATTTTTACATTTTTCTAGCAATCATTTTTGCTTTCATTTTTGGTTACATCTAACGTAACCCAGCTCGAACGATTATTTGCTCAGAAATCCAAGGCCAGCTGCGCTTTGCAGTACAGATGAAACGAGCGACAGGCGCAATTAGCGAACTACAACCTACAACCCTTCAAAATTAAAAAGGATTAACACTGATCTTCTTTTCATACAGTGAAAGTACTATCGTTTGCATTTACATTTACTATAAGTACCGTTATACAACATGCATGTGTTGTGGCCAATCGAGTACAACCGACATTTCTTATAATTCAATTTAGTTGTAATCCCATCCATTTTTCAAAATTATTATGCACACAATATGAGCGCTATTTATATGTTATAATAATATATAATTTTTATTTAAGTAATAAATATGAGAAATTTTTTACCACAAACTGTATTTGGGTATACCCAAATTGTGTTTCTATAAAATTTATAATTCTTATCAACAATCTAATGCAAATCCAAATCCATAAATTAAAACCTTTCAATCGTATTTTACTAGTCAATTTAATCTGCTGCTAAATATTGGTTATATGTATAACTAAATTTATAATTATATCTATATATGACGTAAATACAGTATACGTATGTACACAGTGCATACTTATTTACCTATATACAGATCATTGTAATTAGTTATATTTCAATTTGAATAGAAGAATGGAATAGATTTTAAAATTACAAGAAAATTACCTGTAAATCTAATTCGTATATTAATTTAACATTTTACTTTAAGAAGGGGTAACTTACGTTTATTAATAGATAGGACAAGGTTAGCGAAATTTATTCATCCATAGTAATT